AAAAAAAAAAAAGAAATCCCACTGCTTGCTTCTAGAGGTTGATTTTATCCAATGGTTTACGGTTTTTTTTTTTTTTTTTAAATTATTCTCAATCAAGGTAGTGTTTTTTCAGTCAGTCAGCTGTATTGCATAAGTTCTTCAGCAAAATTCTTTTAAGAAAAGAAAGAAATAGGTATGTATATGTGTTTAGCTTTAAGGTTGATTTAGTTTCTATTTTGGACATGAGATTGGTGAACAAGAAAGACTAAATTTCTTGTGAAAGTATATGAGAACCATGTACTTTGATCCACTTTCAATTCTCTGCACTCTAAATAGAGATGTTTAATTTCATGGAGTTGGTTAAATATGTTCCATCTCAAACACAGAGGTGATCACATAATCAAAACTTGCTAACTTGGGTCATCTCTCAGGGGTCTATCCTGAGACACACACTAGAAAGGAGTATTCTTATTTTTCAAAAAGATTAGACGGGTGTTCTAAGAAACTTAGACATTCAATTGATTGCAAATAAAAGAAAAAGATGTTAAATTCTATTACTAGTCATTTTTGGAGTCTAAATTTTAGCAATAATGTTACTATCATTATTACAGTAATCAACAATGTTAATGTTGATTTTTTAGTTTTCAGTTAAAAAATGGGATATTTCTATGATACATGCCATGGATGATATGTACCCGTAGTCACGAGTCAATAAAGATTGATTAGGATACAATAAGAAATGGTACAACGTTCTGTAATGTGCAATGGGTTTATTTAACACTTTTTGAATGATTTATCTTAGAATGATTCGAAATAAGAATCTCCAGCATAATGGAGTAACAGTTCAATATTCAGATGTCTTCATCTACTTTCAATTTTCAATACTTTTTTTCGAACGTTTGTTCGTCATGTTTTTCAATTGCATGCTCTTTCTATGGTGGGGGATACGAAAAGAAGGGTCAAAACGGTAATGAGCCATTACAGGAGTATTTGCTGATGGTGTCATTATCAAAATCAATATTTTGGATTTGAATATTTTCGTTTCTACTTTCTTGGTAATTTCAACACAACTTCATCTTGAAATTACCAAGAAAGTAAAAATGAATACGACTAGATATAAGCAAAAACCAATAAAATTAATTTAATATTAGAAAGTTGAATCATCTACTTATAAAAATATAATAATAATTCAAATTGATCTAATTTTAATCTATTTTAATTCAATTGTTTAAAATTCATCTTAATTTTTTTTTAATTCAAAAATATCATCTTTTTTGCATGACTTTTAATGTCAGACAATTCAATTAATACACTCTCCAGTGTTAAATAATCTCACTAATCCACATGTCACAGGGTTAAATTTCTCACCAAATTTCTGCCTCGTAATGGCACTAAGATCCAACACTTAGTCTCAGCCAAACATTCAGAATGCACACAAAATGCACATAAAACAGATAATGGACAGTAAGTAAACACACGGGCAAGGCACATAGAATTTACAGGCAACAGCCAAATCTTTCTTTCTCAATAAAGTATAAGGAACTCAACCTTGGGGTCTGTTTATAAAAACGTGTCAACTCTTTTCCTGCACTACAGACCCCAAGCACCCTATTTATAATATTCAGGGTGGCAGTTACAAGCTCAACTGCTTAGACACATGTCTGTAATTCAAATGCTACCAGAGGTCTGTTGTGATTGGATGACAGGGAAGTTATAACTGATGTCTGCATGCTTGTCTAAATCTGACAGAGATCTCACATGCAATGCACTTGCCAAAAAATTGCCCAGAATTGCCACCATCTGCAGAGCACATGCCTAACTTCCTCACATGTTGTGCATGTGTCAGGAGCCCTCAGCATCCGAATTGCATTACACTCGTGCCTAACCATGGCCCAGCCCATGGCTCATTATTCAAGCTAGCATCGCTCCACAATTCAAGCCGCTCACTTCCTTACTTGTATGCTAACTTGTGCCCACGTGCATGGACTGCTTCCCTCAGTCCCTCAGTCATGCATGAGACTTCTGTCATTTTGGCTAAAACTTGGGTGCCTATGGACGAGGCTAACCGATGCCAAATGTTGTCAATGGCTAAGGGGGTAATACCACACCTATATTTCTTTTAGTTTTTTTTCTGAGCAATGTTAAAGAAATTAAAAAAAATAGACTTAATAATTATAACTATTAATTTTACTGTAAGTCCAAACATTTATTGAGACTCGTTACCTATTCAATAATTGTGATTATCAAGTCTAATTTTTAAATTTAATTTTTAAATCAATATAACATTACTCTTTTCTCTATTCATTTTAATTTTAAATTATGTAATTAAAAAAAAATTATTAAAATATAAATATTGTACAATCAATATTCAATTTGTGATATTACAAAATGTTATCAACCATTATCTAATACTAGAGATAACCAATGCCTGAAAACACGATGTAATTAAATATTAAATTTTTGAAAAAGATATTGATAACTGTTGAACAAATTTATTTAAAGACCATCGAATAAACTTATTAAAGTCTATCATGTTTTATATTATAGAATTAATTGTAGTACAATATGAAAATTTTAATTTTTGAGGGTGCGAAGTTAAAAATTTAAAAATTTTCAGAGTACAAAGTACAAAATATCCAGAATAAATACCCTCTTTCTAAAAGTTAAAGCTTCATATTAGACATCTTGAAAGCTTTCTAGTGTTCTCAAAGAGAGAGAGAGAAATAGAGAGACATCCACCATTCTCAAAACCAAATCAGAGAGCTTTCCCTAGCAAGAAAAATCTATATAATAAAAAATAATATAATTCAAATTTAAAAAATAAATAAAATAATTTTTATTTTTCACGATTAAAATCTCTTTAAATTTTACTTTAAAACTAATTTGATTATTAATATTAACACTCAAAATTTAATAGGTAAAATAAGATCTTGAGGGTGTATTTGGAGTGACTTTTTAAAAATATTTCTAGAACTTATAACTTCACATAAATACTTCAAAAAAAAAAAAAATTGTTTGAAATTATCCCACCACCACCACTACCCCCACCACTATCACCATTACCACCACCCCCACTTTTGCCACAACAATCACCACCACCAACATCGTCACCGCAACCACCATTGTCGCCACCCCACCTCCACCACCCCAGCATACCCACGACCATCGCCCTACCACCACCACTACCCCCACCACTCCACCACCACCATCTCCACTGCCACTGTCCCACTTTCACCTCTACCACCCCC